AGTTTTTATATAAAAATGTGCTTTTTATTTTTTTTTCTTAGAAACTAATTCATTAATTGCAAAATCGATCCGTAAAGTTATTAAAAACACTATTATAAATACAATAAAGAAACTTGAAGCAAAATATTGAAAATTGTGGAAGAAGAAAGAATTTTTAATTGTTGAATTTTGTTATAAAAATTAAAATTAAACAAAAATTAATTGCAAAAAAAATTTTTTTCAGCTTAAAACCATTTTTTTCTCATAAAACCACTTAATCTTATTCATAAAAGTAGATGAAAGTTCTTAAATAAAAAACCGAGTCCCGTTTAAACTTTTTTTTTCAGTTGTGATCCTTTTAAAAGTTAGGCAAACAGGATGCTAAGACGTCTGATAGTCTTTTGCGATTGCGCAGAAGTGATTTGGCATATAAAAATATTTAGTAACCGTGCAGTATAAGTAATATAATTACAATTCAGAAAAGTAATAAAAATTATATTTATTTTAATAAAATTCAGCAATTTGAAGATTAAAATAATATCGGATTAAGCAGCAATAGTTAAGTAAAAAGGGTTTTCAAGAAAAAGTTACTTGCGGAGAAATAAATAAATTTATGTATGATATAGATTGAAAGATATTTAAAAATATTTAAAATTATAGATATTTAAAAATATAAAGTCTTAAGATTAAATGCTGGTAATATTAATTAAGCTACTTAGCAAGTGCTCCATAAAAAAACATCCTACAAAATACTACCAGTTAGACTCTCAATACTGAGAGAAATAATTAAAGTAATGAAATAAAAAAGATTTTTAAAATTCGATTATTTCAAAAGGAAAACTATCAAAGTGACGAAAAAGAAAACAAGTTAACATACAATGCCGTTTTATGTAAATAACAAGTACAAGAAATCTACTTCTTCAATTAATTCAAGATACTAAGTGCTATTTAAAACTCATGGCGATTTCACACACTTTTTACCCCAAATAGCAGCGTGAAACTGTTGAAGATATCAGCAAGTAATTTGCATGTATTCATGTATTATTAATTTTTAATTTTATTTTTCTGTTATTTTTAGATAATTCAGTAATTCCCTGTTGCACTTTTTGGGACGTATTTTGTTCAATGCAATGTAGAATTTAAAAAAATTAAGTTGAATACAGGACTCTGAAAACCTACTTAAGCAAAACATTATCATTATCACTGTCATTAAAATCGCCCAGATAGCAATCAAATAAAGGCGATCATTTGAAGTGAAACCAAAGAAAGCTGATTGTGTTTTTGTCTTGTGACTTATCTCACTTGTCTGACAGTACCATCAGAACAAGCCCACGAAATTCATCGTGGCAAGGAGTGCAAGATTGTGCCTGTCGTTGGCAAGAGCTTTGAGGACCATATAGGTGACAGTACGATTTCGCATAGTTCCGCCACAGTTTTGATGGAGAGCACCCCAGGTGGACGAGTCCGAGGATCTCCCACCCCTCTTCCCCTACCATCAACCTTTCGAGAAGACTTTCGGTTCGTCATATATTTAAAGTGCCCCCATGCCGCAAAGACACTATGCATTTACAAACGTCCATGCCTTCGCCGGGATTCGAACCCGGGTCCTTCGTTATCGCAGTAGTCTCCCTAACCACTGTACCGTCTGGGCGGCAAACTGGTTGTTAATCACATTTGTAGGTGATTGGATTATACCAATAAGAATTATTCTAAGTATTAAATATATGTGTATGTATTTCGAATTCTATTGTTAAAACAGTTGAAATAACAGTTTTAAAATTGAATTAAAACTGCTTCACGATAGAAATCTTAGTTAATGGACTAGATCTTGAACCGAATAGATGTACTATTTCAATTTATCTAACAAACGCTTTAGAAATTAAAATACGCTGAACTTGACAAATCCTACCGAAATTTAATTTCGTTCCAAAGGATTTAATAACACATTGATACAGTTAATAACATTTTTACTATTCAAAAATTCAAGCCTACAGAGTAAAATTGTGTGTCTCGAAGAAAATTAAATAAATTTCGAACTAAAATATTCAATCTTCAAGTCATAAAAGTTGGAAAAGGAAGAAATGAAATTTGTATCTGTAACTGCTGAATTCGGACGTAATTAAAGCTATCAATGACGAATTACACTGCATGCATATCAATTACCTCTTTCTTATTAGCAAATAATGAGTGACTACGACTGTGCACGATAAAAAGCCTCTTTGGAACAACAACTTCAGATCTTCTCTCTCCTCTTCCTTTGTTCCTTTAATAAAACTATTGCCCTTAATAATTTTTTTTCATATTACATAACCATAACCTGAAGCAGACTGCCATCAGTATTCATACTTTCCTTTCTATTGATCGGAATATATTCACTAAAAATACTGTAGTATTTTTATATTATATATAGTGTGTGAATACATTTTATATACACTGTGCGAAAATAACCGGGACACAGGTGTTGTTTTGATAATTTATGAACATACGGGCATAATAATCATTAGAAGTACACTTCATACACAGTGATAGCAATAAAATAAAAGGGAAATATAGCCTCCTTTTGCATAAATGACCTCTAGAATGCGCTTAGGTATTGATCTGCTGGTCTTCTGCACACGTTTTTTAATTCATCATGGAATCGCAATTTTATAGCATTCACAAACATGCGCTCATTTGACGTACAATACATTTTGCTAAGATGTTCCTTGGGAATGTGCCTCAAATTCTGGATCCGATCAAGTCTGAATTTCCAAGTTAGTCTAACACAATAATTTTATTTTCCAACATGAGCTTTCCGACAGATATCGAACTGTTGTACGGAGCCAAGTCATATTGAAATTTTCTTGGAAAGATTTTCAAGAATGGCACAATCTACCTCTTAAAGTTTTTCGATGAAGTCATCATTTCGTCAATAGGAACTAGAGTTCCAATGCCATCTGTTCTGAAAAACACCGAAAAGTTTGTTTTTAAGGGTATTTTACGGCTTGTTGGATGTGTTGAAGTCCTATTTATTTACCCTTGATTTCCTTAACAACCTTAGATGCGTAACCGTGAATAAATAAATGAGTCTCGCCACGTGTCAAAGTTGCTTCTTAACAAGGATTCTTTCCTTCCGAATAGGGGTAAGAAGTCTGCGCCGCACATTTGAAGGATGCATATTAATACCAGCAGGCAAAGTATATCTTTCCAAGTTTTCGTTGGATTAATAATGCTATTTCTGAATAGAAGTCGATATGATTTTGGGGTTCCTTTTCTTTCTCTTTCACATTTGCCATTCCTTTCTGGAGAAAAATGATCCAGTTTCATTGTGTGTCCTCAGAATTAGAAACGCTCGATTTTCCAACTCAACTGCAGAAGCAATATTTTTACAGTCATGGATGTGTGACTTTAAAAGTCAACTTGTTAAATGCAATATATCTGCTTTCTCTTTCTAGGTATCATATATATTTTTAGAACACTAAAATAAATAAATACAAAACTTATTTAAAATGTATTCGAAAGCAACTTCCTCTTCTCACAGAAACAAGCTTGAAAGCGGTACACTAATCATAAAATTTATTGTCTAAACCAATTCTAAGCAGTCGAAAGTAAACAACTAAACAATATTAAGGCAGATAAAACTGCTTTGAGAGACCTTGCTGGCACCAGCTGGCAACCAACATAAAATTCCGTTCTTTGTTCCAATCAAGTTGCGCACTATAGTATTTAGTACTTATTTATTTAGTTTATTTAGTTTGATTTAAGAACTGCGTGGTCGTATTCTAACCACACTAACTGAAGTCAATTATAGCCTGCACATAATATTCTTCGAATAATATGCACCTTGATATATTCGAAACAATAAACTACATGAAGAATTGAATACCGTGCAGTTAGAACTACACACTATAAAGTATCCAAGAAATTCCTTAAAATATCGGTCTTAATTAATAATGAGTGTATTGGCAATTATGATTAAGATGTATATCATGCTCATAATGTAAAACTCGCCAGGGCGATCCTTAACATAAATATGACTAATATAGTAAGTATAGACAGCAATTATCTCGCTTTTACTACTTTTGTCTATAATCAAAATGTAAGCCCTGATGTAAACTGAAACTTCTAAGCTAAAACTTCTAAAATGTAAACCTGAAACTTCTAATTTTCTGGTCTCAAGGAGCTACTATAGTGGACATTCTTTGAAATGACACGATTCAGAAACGAATTATTCGGCAGGGATAGTGCTTCGTGTACAGGCACCCTCGTGACTACACCATTCCAATCCAAAGAATTTAAGAAAAAATCTAGCATGGCACTTCAGGAATAAATAGAATTTCATTTCCGAAATATTACAATAATTTCAATGAGTGGGATAAAAAATTTGTTGATTCCCCCCCTTCTTTTTTTAATTATGTGGGGAGGGTGGAGGCTATATTATACTTTTTAAGCATATATGTCTGAAAGCAAGACATATTGCAAAGAAAGTAGCAGATAAACTAGAATCAGAACATGTTACTTACTAAGAAGTGCAATTCATTTAGACTCATAAATTAATTATTGCATTAAAAAATTAATCTCTTTTTGAGTGTAATTAATTATCAAAATTTTTCCTCAAAAAGGAATGTCATGTAAATGGAATTCAATTAAATTCTGTGGATGACAGATAAGAATTTCATTTAATTTCTGTAACCATTTGATTTCATTTTTGTAGTCTGAATATTAATTTCATTTCATTCTGTTCACAGTTGAACTCAATTTTCACTATCTGAATAAATTCCCACTTTCAGAAAAATTCTAAGCAAATTTAATTTCTCACATTACAGCAAAAAGTAAAAATATAACTCAAATAATTTGAAATCATTCGAACGTAACAATTAAAAACAAAACTAGACGTTAAATTAAAATTTACAACCGACCTTTCAGAATGGTAGAACATAAGTTAAGCTCACAAAGAAACACTGTTCTACTAATAAAACACTTTTTGTACACATCTTTAAAATAAATAAACAAATAAATAAAATAATGTAAACGAAACTTACCATTAACTTTTAACTCTACATCTAGCCAAAAACTTTCTAGTTCACAATCAAAATGCGTCCAGTAATCAGATACCGTTAACAGGTTCTTAGCATAAAGTTGTGGTGGCAACAAGCAACAGTAATAATTAGTCAATGATTGCATTCACATGCTTTTTCTTTTCCCTTTATTTTAAACTCGTTTGTATTTTCTGGAAAGAAGGGGGATTCTTAGGCACGTAGAGAAGTACATAAGATAAAGTGACTAAAACATTAATTGCAAGTTGAAACAAAATGGCTCGGTTCACCTTTTCTCTGTCTTCAATAGTTTCTACAAGTAATTACACTGACTTATCACAACAGTGCAGCCTATATTTCGCTAGTTTGCAATAGCGAAAATATGATTTTGTTTTCGAAGGTATGTAAAGTAACATGCATAACAGGCGTTACTAGTACACTAAATAACGTTATTCGAATAGATAAGAAGTCACTTACTAAATATTTGAACCTAACACTGAAGAATAAATCTTACATTTAGTAGTCAAAGTATTATATCAAATCGTAATAATGTTAACTGCAACTTGAATACTTTATTATGGTGGGAAAAAAGACAATTTCGCATTCAAAGACGTTATTGCCTACTTCGAAAAGCATCTGAACTTAACATGCTGCGTCTAAGAATATTCAGAAGTATAAAATAGATTTCTGTGACCGTTAATCTCCTCCATTTACAGTCAATTACATCCACAAACAACTCCTTATGACCCGCATCTTGGTCAACTGAGGGATGGCCGCAACCCTTTGATGTCCGCTTGACCACGGGGCAGTCGGGGCCCTTTTCTCTGGACCCTGGGCACTCGAAAATGTGCCTGCAGGGGTTTCGCTTTAATTCAGGACCTCCTCTCGGTTCATTACAAGGGATAATGCACCCCCCATGAAAAGGCTTCAGTAAACGATGCTCTGAAGCGTTGTTGGGCCTCTTTCCACTCGGAAAACGTACTACAGAGTAGTGTGCATAGAATGCGCTCGGAACAGCTTTGTGCATTCCTCCAGCGATTCTTAAAACCTGTTGCACCCGCTGGGGATTTTGTAATTGCACAAACATTTCGGATGTCTCAGAAAGGAGGCCATAATAAAATATAAGCGCCTTTGAGAGTCTTATTCCTTCCTGAAGTTGTTGCTTTACAGAAAAGAAGAGAAAGAAGAAGAAGGAAAAGCAAAGCATCTTAACTTTTAAAAACTGCTAAATATTAGAGAAAAACCCTGAAAGGAAATAACCTTTTCTTCTTTTTTTAAAATATCAAAAAAAAAAATTAAATTTTAAAATTAAATATGCAATTATTTTTAATTTAAAAAACATTAAATTACTTCAGGTATCAGATTGCTTTTAAAAGTAATTTTGCATTCAAGAAGCCAGCGGCCAAGATGTAGGTATTCAGATCTCAAATGTTACCGGGCGCAAAATTTGGGGGGAGCAAATTTTTTTAAATTTAGATGCGCACTGGGCGGCAAAATTTAAAAGCTACAGAAATTGTTTCGGGTGCCAAAATGTCTAGCGCCGGCCCTATGAATCATGTACAACTTGAAATTTTCTCCACATACCAAAATGAAAACGGGAAATTTGAACGCAAATGGGCATAAAATGCTATTAGAATGGAATTGCAAATTTCTCAATTGTAATAAAAATATTTTCAAAAGTTCGGAGAATTTTATAAATAAAATAAGGTAAATTCTAGTTAAAAAGAGGGTATAGGGTTTTTATGAAAGGGATCTGTGAAAACGCAGACTGAGTGGGGATATTTTTAGATCTGGATTAGGTGGGAGTGAAATAACTCATCATTTCCTATAAGGCTCGGCTGAGAATAAAACTAGCACCTTATAGTTAGGGGCCTACCAGCGGCCGAGCGGTAAAGTCGTTGAACACTGGCAGTTCGATCCGAGGTTCGAATCCCGCGAACGAGCTGGCTGCATGGGTGTTTTTGTGGTTTTCCCCATGTTTACTCAGCTAATGTTAAAATTCCACAGCTAATGCTAATTTACAGTGTCATATTAAAATTCCTACAAAAAAAGAAATATCTTTTAGAAAGTTGCACTGAATCGCTATATAAAACAATGTGCATAAAATTGAATTTCATCTTTAAGGCAAGAAATATTTCATTATATTAAATAAAGCATAACTGTCTATATTGCGAGTTATTGATAAAAAGAGGGAATGATGATAAGCATTCATACTACAAGAATAAATGACAGCTAAGTTTATTGTGTCGACTTCCTAATATCTGTTCTTTTTCAAGAGATCACCGAGAACATTTTAATTTAGCTATTCCTAACTGGTCAGTATGTAACGATTGACGTCTATATCGTAAAATACACTCATGTCCATAAATTAAGTATAATTCGGAGTCATGCGGAAATCGAACTCTAAAATAAATATATCACCTGTAAAATCACTACACACATCTTCAAGAATCATATGCAAATTTCAGGAAGTAACCAGATGACACCGATGGTACGTCACAATGACGAGAGTGTAAGAGAGTGATATATAAGGAATACAGGAAAATAAGTAAAATTGTTCGCAGGCGCTTTATAAGCATTTCAGTGCAATAACCGAATAGTTATGACACAAAGGACGCATTTGGACGATTTTTTACGTGGTAGAATTATCGGTCGTCTGGAATGTGGGCGTACCCAACTGGAAGTATCATACGAACTTGGAATTGCCCAGAGTGTCATCTCCAGGCTTTGGCAACGATTCCAAGATGATGGTAATGTGAGTAGACGTTACAGCACAGGTCGCCCCAGAGTTACAACGCCGAATGAGGACCGGTATTTGGCAGTTACTGCCAAAAGAAACAGGCGGAGCACAGCCTCAGACTTGTCTCGTAAGCTCTCTTCAGCCACTGGTACGACAATTTCAAGGCAGACCGTATACAGACGCTTAGGGCAGATTGGTCTATATGCTCGTAGACCTGTCAGATGCGTTCCACTTACTGCAACTCACTGTCGCCTGCCGTTGGCCTGGAGTAGAGAGCATGCATTGTGGACACCGCAACAGTGGTTTTGTGTGATGTTTTCCGACGAGTCCAGGTTTAGCTTACAGTCTCATTCGCCGGACTTTCATATGGAGAGCTCCATGTACCCGTTACCACCAAGAAAACATCATTGAACGACACCGTTACGGTGGTGCAGGAGTGCTCGTTTGGGGTGGAATTATTCTGGGTTCCAGAACTGATCTGCATGTTCAAATTCGAACCATGACAAGCCAAATCTATCGGAACGTCATTCTGGAACAACATATACGTTTGTTTTGGGGCGCCATAGGCGCACAATTTGTGTTTATGGATGACAACGCCCGTCCTCACCGTGCAAACATCGTAAGCGAATGCCTTCAATCTGAGGATATCACCCGTATGGACTGGCCAGCATTCTCACCGGACTTGAATCCAGTAGAGCACGCGTGGGACATGCTTGGCCGACGAGTTGCAGCCTGTCAACCTCCTCCCTACATGTCTACCGGAACTTCGGAAAGCATTGCTTTTTGAGTGGTGTAATATCCCCCAAGATCAGATCGATAATTTGATACTCAGCATGCCTAGGCGTTGTACGGACTGCATTGCATCGTCTGGGAGACATACAATGTATTAACAATCACACAAACCATGTAATATTGGTTTTTTGTAAATAGGGTTTTTGTAATTTGCTCCAGGGAGAAAAAAATCGCTAATTTTTTCAATAATATCAAACATATAGCATCTTTTTTTGCTCTTTACCTTTTTTGTTTAATAAATAAGCTTTACAAATAAGTCACATTTGTTTTGCTTCTAACTCTTCCTTTGCCTGATTTTGCATTATACTTAATTTATGGACATGAGTGTATATTTATGCTTAATGAAAGTTAATTTAAAAATGACGCATTTTGATGCCTAAAAATTTAAATTTTACAATCAATATTCTGAAAACTGCTTTCATTTCTGAATACTTTTTACTGATTTTCTGCAATACTTAATTACGCATTTAAAAATGTTGCGAATTATTTATTTTATCAGATTAACAGATAGTCAAAACAAATTTTAGTCAAAATCTCAGAGTAGCAAACCTCATTAGTATGAAATAGTTATTCAAAATCTATCAATAATGTAAATTAAATAATGCACGATTTCTAAGTTTGAAGGAAGCTTTCTAAATTTGAATGAAACTATCTCATATTCATAGTGTTATTAGATCTTTTCATTTAAACAAACACGTCAGTCTGCATAATTCTGCATACTTGGAGGATATTCGAAAATGGTGGTTGTAGACTTTATTTCGTTTTAAATTTTACTATAGACACAATTTCGAACGACAGAGTTCCTCAACAAGATACAAAGATTTTATTTAAGTGCTTTAATTTTGAGAAACTAGTTGTTGATCACTGAAGGTTAGGCCAAGGTGGGCAAAATTTGCAATTAGTAAAATATTCACTGTGCTTTTATAAATTAAACGTAAAAGTTCTGTATCTTTACTTTCAAATCTCACATCGATATTACTCTTAGATACTAGCTTCCTAACGCTAACTACAATTTAGTAACCAGTGTTTTTTTATTTCGCATAGAAACATTAACCGCTAAACTGAATGACCTTTAATCTGCATTAGGTTGAAGAATGTGAAACTTGAACCGCTGTTAAGTACTGAAAAGTTTTTTGGTAAATATCTACATGATACTTTTTGTGTAAAGGTCTGGAATTTTATTTATTTGATACATTAAAACATCATAAATGCTTTACCAGCCAAGAGCTTTTACTCTACGGCAAGCGTGTCAAACTCGCGACCTTTGACAAATTTTTATACAGTCGTGCGTTCATCAAGAGAAAATAACATACATTTTATTAATACAGACTAGAATTCCATCGAATATCGAGGCATATATACAATGTTAAATGCTAAAAAAAACTCTTGGGACGGTCTCTTTACAAAAGTACTTTCTCGGCCAATAATGAGAAAGAGATAGCAGATGGTGTTATTAACAGAAATTAAGTGAGACTCTAAAGACAAAAATGCAGTAAAAGGGCATACCCGAATTTCACAAATGCTTGCATGCGTGATTCAGCAAACTTTACACGGTAGTGATTTCTCTGAATGGTAGCATATACCAGAGGGATCAACTTTTCTCACTTATAAAAAGGAGCAAGATATCAGCGGGATCCCGTTAACAAAACAGTCATGGGATTT